CTCTCTCTCTCTCTCTCTCTCTCTCTCTCTCTCTCTCTCTCTCTCTCTCTCTCTCTCTCTCTCTCTCTTTTTTAAACCAAGCAGATGCCAGGAGAAAGATGAGCAAGGAAAAGTTTCTCTATTCAAAAGAGGCCATATGCCTGAAGCTATTGTTAGGGAATAGTTAAAAACACACTTCACTGAAGGAGAAGAGTTATTCTCTCTCTTTTATAAGTTGAGATGGAAAAGAAGGACATTTCCCTGGGAACAGGTAGACGAATGAGCTCCAGCGGCTTTTGTCATGGTAGAGAGGATGCATCAAACCCAATCCATTTTTCTCTCTTCAAAAAAAAAAAAGCCGTTAGTTTTTGAGAGGCTTCTGGAAAAAGGAAGTTCCTAACTGAATCCATGTTATAGACAGAAAGACCCAGTCCAAGAGCTGTTTTTATTATGGGTTCTTGGTGTCCTCTGACCTTGGTGGTTTTCCTGCAGATGTTTCCCTGCCTGCATCCATGCACTGAGGATGTTGCCAAAACATCTGTAGGAAGACCACCAAGCACCCAACAGTTCAACCCTGAACTGCCTATATTCTCTACTATTATTTCCTTTTCTTGTTCACATCCAGCACCAGGAAGACCACAATCCCTTTCCCACTTGCTGGAGAACCATGGCTCCCTCTTATCAGTCTTTTACTTTCACAAAGGGGTCTTCTGTTCCAGAATACGACAACAGTACTGATTGGGCAGCTCTGTATAATTTGACAACTTCGCCATTTTTGCCTCTTAAGATCTTAAAAAGCTGTATCTTGACTTTCATGTAAGCTAAGTTGTCTGCATGGCACTTGTTAGTCACCTTTTGTATTCAGCAAGGGGCCATACAAATAAACAGAGTGAGAGATTGAAGTGTACCACCCAATTCAAGGGTGCACCCATTCATGGAATTCTAGGGTTGAAGGGATGTCGAACATCTTGAATCTTCATACCGCTCCAGACCAATGGTTCTCCAGCCTTGGCTTGAGAACCTCCACAGATGGGAGTCCCCATAACTCCAGGAGGCAGGCTGTTCCAGTTCTCTCATTGTCACGAAATTCCTCTTTATTTCAGGTTGGCTCTACCTTGGCAAAATTTCCACTTCCAATTCAAACTTTCTGGGGTGGTCTTTGAGTGAAATCTCACAGGCAGATTTTTTTTCCCCAATTTTTTTTTTTCCAGATTGTGCTGGTAAAGGTAAATGTATTCCCACCAGTGAGAGTGAAAAGGGGGAAGCTTTGGAAGGGGTTGTCTGCAATCTGTAGTTTTTGTTTTTTTTTAATCTATGGGTCTAGGTGTGTGTCTTTCTGTCTCTCTACAGTCTGATTTCACCATGGTAGCTTTTACCAGTAGAAGACTTTCTTTTAATCTAATCCTCTACCGTGTAGCAACCTGTTATTATTTCCCTAAAACAAATAATGCATCTAACTTTATGCATCTCTTTAAAATGTGGAAATTAATAACCTCATCCTCTCTTCATTCAAACATTCTGATGGCCCAGATTTTCTATTCATTGTTAGCAGTAGTGAAACCTGCTAATTAGCTCATTAGAGGTACTGGGTTTTTGTATTGTAATCCCACTGTTATTTTCCAAGTTTCATTCTAATTATTGTTTATTACAATTATTGATACCCACCTCTGAGCATACAAGCCTCACCACAGCAGCTTAGAAGTGACCTCAAAAATAATAAAAGCATGATGAGTAATGTTATTCAAATGAAAAGTGACAATTTCTGAAATCCTTTCCATGGAGTGCTTGATAATATCTGGCTGAGGTGGAATCCAGGAGAAAGATTTGTCTCCTACCCAAAGCCCACAGTCCCCTATTTTTATCTTCACAACAAACTTGTGACTTACAACAATTTCACAACAGACTCTGTTGTACTGTGTTAGATGTTCTTGGTTTACTATATTTGCCAATCTCTAACAGAATCAGAACTCTGTCTTAGCCAGCCTGATATCCTTATTTTTCTGTCTCTTCCTCCCACCCCTCTCTCTGTAGATAAAGAAGATGTGAAACTAATTCCATGTCCCAAGACACTGAAGAATGCTTGGCAAGCACCATCTTTTCCAACCATCTGTTGAGCCCGAAGATGTTCAGCTTGGTTATCCATTCATTTCATGTAGGACGGATGGCTTTGTTGCATTCTAGGGAATGAAACAGAGCTGGAACAGATCTGCAGAGATGGTTGCATGACCTGTGAATTTATCTGTTGTCAGGGGGTGAAGCTCCACAAAGAAGACTTGCTTTCCCCAGCACATGCTTGCAAATAGATATAAAGCCTTCTACCCTGTCTCTCTTTCTCATTAGAGGTTGGTGGCTCAGCTGTGAACTAACTGAGAGTCAGTCTCTACACCGTGAGATCCTGTTCTCTAGGGCTAGAAGATTTCAGGACTACAATGGAAGAGAATGTATTCAGTGTCCAACAGATTCAACCGAATGTAATCTCAGTGAAGCTCTTCAAGCGCAAGGTTGGTGGTCTTGGGTTCCTGGTCAAGGAACGAGTCAACAAGCCACCAGTGATCATCTCTGATTTAATCCGAGGAGGGGCAGCAGAACAAAGTGGCCTTATTCAGACAGGAGATATTATCCTAGCAGTCAATGGGAAGCCCCTGGTTGATATGAACTATGACACTGCCTTAGGAGTTCTTAGAAGCATTGCATCAGAAACTTATGTTGTTCTCATCTTAAGAGGCCCAGAGGGCTTCACCACTCACCTAGAGACAACCTTTGCTGGAGACGGGACACCAAAGACTATCCGAGTCACCAGACCTCTGTGCGTGACCCCAATAGTAGGTGACCAGGCATCTGCTCCAAGCATTCACGCCAAAGACAAGCAACAGGGGGAAGAACACAGCATGGGTGGCTCTGTCAGCTCCCGATGTACCCGGGAGAACGGGCAGGGGGAAGAAACCCTGGTGCACATCAATGGCATGATAGCCAGCAACGTGGCCAGGGGCACTCTGAAAGGAAACCAGGATATTTCTGGCCATTGTCTCAATGGCAGTGTTGAAAACAGTGAACTGCTCAAAGAGATTGAACCAGTTCTGGATCTTCTGAAGGGCAACAACAAGGAGTTCAATGGCGATGCTGAAGCCAAGATGGGAATGAGAAATGTTGAAGTCCAGGTGGACAGGTAGGATGCTAAAATCATTTATACTATTTATCTCCAAACGGTTTGAGATTACAACTCCCCAAATGCCTAATGACCTCTCTTCCCTGAGTGTAAGGGTATGTGGGAAAGACCTTGGGGGATTGGGCAAAGAGATGCTGCTTAGGGAATGGTCAGATAAAAGGCAGCTGAGCCTACAGCAGGAATGTAGGCGGGGCAAGAGGCTCAGAAGGGACCCTCCCGAGTTTCTCGGGGTGTAAAAGGGGACATGAGGGAGAATTGTCCTTTCAGACTTGCAAGATTCTGTCAGTGTAGCTTTACAATAAAGTAGAAATAGCTCATCTGGTTGTGATTCCTACCTGGTTTACCTCGGGAGGCTGACACTGAGTGAGTACAGTCTTAAAGCAGCAGCCAGGAAGGGGAAAGGTCTCCATACATGGATGCTGACTTTAGAACCTATTCTGCTTTGGGCATGAAGGCGTGGCTGGAATCTCCAGTGTTGATTTAGCAAAGAATCAGGGCAAAGGGGGGAAAGTGAAAAATACAGGCACCCCACTGCCTGCCCCACTTTTGCCCTGAATGAAGAGGATCCATTTTCATGAAAATTGGCCTCCCCATCAGATTGCTTTACCTCTTAGTAATAACAGTGCCATTCCGTCCCCTTCTGTGATGGAATGTATCTACAAGGAGGAGGGTGATGGGGGAGATCAAGGCTATCAGGAAGGAGGGGGTGCATCCCAGGAGAGGGAGGAGGCAAGAGGCAGCTGAGTCCGCAATAGGAGCATGAGAAGCAAAAGAGGTTCAGGATAGCCACTCCCTAGAATCTCCCAGAGTATATCCACTAGGTATAGATTAGTTTGGCAAGACTGATGTCAGGCCCAGCCCAAGAACAACAATGAAACTGTCCAGTTGAGTTCAGTTCCTTTATTAGCTTACACCTGATAGACAGAATCTTGCCAAACTCAATCTATACCTCAGCAACTAGTGGATCTACTCCGGGAGATTCTAGGGAGTGGCTATCCTGAACCTCTTTCGCTTCCCACGCTCATGTTGTGGACTCAGCTGCCTCTTGCCTCCTCCCTCTCCTGGGATGCACCCCTCCTTCCCGATAGCCTTGATCTCCCCCATCACCCTCCTCCTTGTAGATACTTCCCATCGCACCTTCTCTCATCTATTCTCGTATACTCAGGGCTAAAAAGATCTCCCAACTGTGGGTCTGGGTGCCTTAAACTCATGGAAAATTGCCCCATGCCTGTTAACGTGGCCCTGTCCTGATTAATCAGAAGGAGTCTTAATTGGTTCATTAACTGAGTATAAATGAGGAGCTTCAGTAACGGAGCAGAGGAGAGAGTGACAAGCAGAACACAAGGGTTATATTTTTAGTGGATGCTCTTTTCCAACTTTTTAGCGGTGGCTTGTTTGAAATGGACGGCTCCTGAGCTGAAAAAACACACTGCTAAATGAATGAATGAATTAATTAAATGGCTCCCGCTGCAGCATTGTGTGATCTGTGCCTGGCTGATGATCTAATGTATGAAGCTACATTTTAAGCCGAGCAAAACAAGTCTTTTTCAGAATAAGTCCAAACCGTTGTCCAAATTCACCATTCTCAAGCTGAGTCCCCTTAAAGGAGTCTTAGATGAGGCTCCCATAATCTCCAGTCAACTGTTCTGAACTGGGGGAGGCCTTAGAAGAAAAATACCACCACCACCACCCCACCCCCCGGTAGCATTCCACCACACCCAACTTCATGGCATTGGGAAAACTGAAATGCTAGTAATTTCCTAGGTCCCAATGCAGTCTCCACATAGCTCTGCAGCGGGGAGAGAAAAACCAGAAGGTTTTAGGTGAGCTCGTGAGCAAATGAAGGGATTAATTACCTGGAGCTGAAAGGATGAGGAGCAGTGAAAATCTGGCTAGCCTCCCCAGAAATGAAGCAGTAATCAAGGGGTAAAGGGGAAAACAAATGAGCTAGCATTTAGGAAGAGATGGGGTCATAGTAACCCTCCTCCTTATGCAGTTTTGAGTACAAGAAAGGTAAAGCAGGAGGACACACACAGAACTGTTAAAAGATGTCCTTTTTTCCAAGATGGGAGGGAAGCCTGAAAGAGTCCTGGGGTTGCTAGTTAATCATATGGGATTTAAACAGTGGCAAAACATTCCAAGTCCCTTTTGTCTTGATAAAGACAGAGCTGGGGACAAGCTTAGCAGGTCAGTTTACAGTCACCTGGGGGACCATTCTCTTTCCTCCTGGTTTAAGCAGGAAAGTTAAGAATAAAACAGGAAGTCTTCACCTAGTGACCTCCCTTTGAGTAATTATAGTTTGCAAGTGACAGCCAGGGAGGGGAAATGTTTCAAAAACAATAGGCATATCATACAGGGGTACCTGCTTTGTGGCACGTACAGTTTCATATTTGTGATGGAATGGTGTTATGAAGGCCACGCTAAGGGAGATAAGCATTTCCTTAGCCCCCAGCAGGAGCGTGGGAAATTTAAGAAGATGAGGCTGGCACCTCCCTAAGGAATTCACGGTGTTGTGGCTTGCTGGCTTGGGAACTTGGGTT